AAACTAAAGTATAAAATACAGATGTAATTTTAAATTATTAATTTTTAATGATGGATTATATAAAATTGGGAAACACGCCCCAGTGGAAGAAACGTGAAAGATCCAAAAGGGTAGTCCAAGGAAAATGGACTCTACTCACCCGTCCACACGCTTCCATTGGTCCACCTGGCATCCGCATCACGCCTCCTGCGCCTTCGTCGCATCCTAACATACTCACCCAGTATTTCTATTTTTAATTACAATAATAATAATAATCGTAATTAAATTTAAGTTCCAAATCCTATTTTAATGGTTCAGCTTCTGCGTTAAATTACCAATCTAATCTCTAAACTTTTTTTAAAGTTTATATCTAATGAATTTCATATTTGAATGAACCTCGTAACTATAAGTAGATTTTTTAGCTAGCAAAAAGGGAAAATTTTGGATAGGATTTTTTTTTTCTTTGAGAAATGGATAGGATGATTTTCTGCATTTGAAGAAAAAAGAAAGATCTTGATCTGAGGGACCGTTTGTTGTTCGGGAATGTAGATATCCGATATCTAGCGATGTTTGGAATTTCATATACCGAAATTTTAGATGTCCGACATCTTCAAATAGTCATGTGTATTTCGTAGGAAAATTTATTAAGGATGTCCAGGAATATTTTATATTATTCATTATAATAATAACTTGTTATAATTAAAGATAACCTTTTTATAATTGAATGATTATACGGTTTTTACCTTTTTTTATTACAAAAAAAAAACATTGTCGTCAATTCTCCCTTCAATCAAATATGAATACTATATGGCTGGAGTTTTATGAAAAATTCCAAAGCCCCTTATCGGATTTGAATCGATGACTTACGCCTTACCATGGCGTTACTCAACCACTGAGTTAAAAAGGCCTATTTGATTCAATTTCTGAATAAGCCACTAGTCACAATGAGTACAGGATTTGTTCTTGGAATGTGTTAAATTTATAGAATATTTCAAAAATGGGTACTCATCTAATTTATAAATTCATTTAATATAATAGATTTATTTGAATTAATTTAATCTTTTGTTTTTTTATATGTTGTTTTGTAGAACAAATTAATTCTTATTAATTCAATATATATTTCATTTTCAACTTTAATATTTTTCAAAAAAGACAATCATAAAACTGATATTATCTTGGATAAAATTTATTTATCTTACTATTATATTATATTTCTTTAAGAGGAAAAATATCACAGATATATTGGTCGTCAAATTTTTTTTGATAAATATTATTAATAATATAATTCTTTCAAAATATTAAAAATAAATTCATATTTTATCTAATTTAATTGCAGTTTATTTTATATGTAAATATAATGTACAAATATACTTAATCGCATAAAATTGCTTATTAGAGAATGAGTTCATTAATTAATTTAAATTATAAATTTAAAAATAAAAATAAAAATTTTTTTGGGAAAAAATAAAGAAAATATATGGAAAAAAATGAGGGGCAAAATGTAAAGAGTGGATGCTCTCAACACGGGAATCTTGGATACCCATGGTTCAAAAGGGCATCCAAAACTCGTTAGATGCCTCCCGTACGGGCATCCTAGAGATGCTCGGGTATCATACATTCCCCGCAAAACAAACGTGGGAATCCAGATGCTCGTCCAATGGGAATCTTGGATTCCCACGAAACAAACGGTCCCTGAGAAGTATCTGATATGTCTTTGAACTTTTCCTATTTGATCAACTTAAAAAATATACAATAAGTCTAAGATTTATTAGATCCAAATGAAAAGTTCGAATATTTGTTATATACAAAATTGAAAGCCTATGTACATCAAGATCTACGAGACACAATATGTGGAAATTTATTAGACACTTTTTTATATTCAGTGACATATTAAAGACAAAACTAAAACCTAAAATACCTATTAGATACATAATTGAAAGTTTTTTAACTTATTAAATATTTTTTACCGTTCAAGGATCTACCGTACAAAATTTGAAGTGCAATTACCTATTAGACACAAATTAAAAGTTTAAAGATTTATTAGACACCTTTTAAAATTTATTAACCTATTAGATACAAACTTGAAAGTTCAAAAACTAAACTTGTAATTTAACATTTATTACATTTAGTGTCTAAACTTTCAAAATTTTTATTTTAGTTCTTGAATTAAAATAAATAATAATCATTTTTTTATTACTAATATGTACCTAAACTCCTTAAAAAACAATTATTTTGGTTATTGTTATTTTATCAACTAATATTCATCATCATACATCCATCTAATTATGTAACTGTAACACACACCCATGGCTTGGCGCAGTGACGAGAGGTTTGAGGTCTAACTTTCTAAACCTTAAAAAGTTTTTAATAGATCCAAACTTTTAATGTTATATCTAATAGATCATATACTTTAAATGGTGACTTATCTTTATGAAAAATAAAAATATATTCAATAATCTTTTATGGATTATTTATTTTACAACAACTCCTTAAAACAACTTTTTTTTAAGTATTTGGAGTGTACTTTTTCACCATATAAATAAATATCGACTTATATTGGATCTTGATTCAATGTTAGACAATATAATATAAATGAATGTTTAAGATATTATCATTTACTCTCTTTTTTTTTATATAATGCTTTGAATAAGTAGCCTAAATAACACGAACCAACCAAACGTGAGTATGTCAATGGTTGTGTTGAGTTAGGTTAGGTTCATTATTTATTAAGGGTTGTTTGAGTTTAAATTTACAACACGAACAATTGGGTTGGGTCTAAAAAATACCTCAACCCAATCCATGAACACATTTGACACAAAATTGAAAGTTTGAGAATTTATTAGACGTTTTTTAAAGGTAAGTGGCCTACTAAACACAAAATTGAAAGTTTATGCACCTACTAGATACAAAATGAAAGTTTAAGAAGTTATTAGATTAGATACTTATTTAAAATTCAGTGACCTATTAAATACAAAATTGAAAGCGCATGAATTTATTAGATAAAAAGTTAAAGTGTAGAAACTTATTAGACATTTTTTAATGTCCAAAAACTTATTAGACACAAAATTGAAACTTGAGGATTTATTAGACGCTTTTTAAGGTTCATGGACCTATTAGACATAACTCTAAGTTGAGGGACTAAATTTATAATTTAATATTTATTATATTTTAGTGCCTAAACTTCCAAATTTTCTATTTTAATTTTTTGTATTTAAAATAACAATCATTTAAGTATTTTAATTTATTACAAAAATAATCATTTTAGTTATTGTTATTATTTTATCACCTAACATTCATTATCATACACCCATCTACTTGTATAGTTGTAACACAAATTCGTGTTAGCAAGTTAATCTTTTAAATGTCCATCTAAGTATAGTTAAATTAATAAAGATATATCATCGATCAAAAGGTGGAAGTTCGAATTCCCACTAAAAAAATTGTTGAACTAAAAAATAGTTAATTGTTTTTAAATAATTAACGGTAAAATAATGATGAGAATCAAATTAATTATTATTATTAAAAAAATTGATGGCCGGAATTTCAAATGTCGGAATGTTAGATGTTCGACATCTTCAGATAACCATGTTTCTTTCGTAGGAATATTTTTAAAAAAATTGATGGAAGAAAATATATGGAGGAAAAAAATGGAGGGCAAAAATGTAAAAAGTTGATGCCCTCACCACAGAAATCTTGGAAACCGTGTTTTAAAAGGGCATCCAAAACTCGTAAGATATCGGACATCTCGAGATACCCAAGTATCTTATATTACTGTAAAATAAACGTGAGAATCCAGATGCCCGTTTCACGAGAATCTTAGATTCCCACGAAACAAACAGCTCCTTAAAAGGTATCTAATATATCCAAACTTTTGATAATGTATTCAAAGCATGAATTTATTAGACACTTTTTAAAATTCTAGTAATTATTACTGATAAAAATGTTTCATAAATTATGAGATTTTATTATTCTCTTTTGGGAGAGATGAGAGAGAAATATAATCATTAATCAATTTCTAATTAGTATATAGATTAATTTAATTGCTTTAAATTATTATTTATTTATTAACTAACTATCTACCATAGATATTTAATGACTTAAATGAGTTTTTCCTTGAACAAAAACCTATAAAACACACAAATATTTAATTCTCAAATATTAATTATCCTACATATCTAAATTGCAGTCCATATTTAACATCTATCATTCAAATAGGTCATTAAAATTTTAAAAACTTATTAGACAAACTTTAAAAATTTAAGGAACCTTCCCTTCAAACTCCTAATCTTCAATAAGGTCTGCTTGAGATTTATTTTCTAAATGTGTTGTTTATGTTGTATCTCATATGTTTATAAAGTCGGCAATGTTAATTTTTCGTTTGTTTGTATAATTTTATTGCATTAGTGAATTCATTGACAAGTTTATTTATATTTTTTCGTGCAATATATTTAACTTAAACAAAATTAAGAACCACACTTATAATTAAAACAAAATTTAGAAATTAAAAAATTAGAGCGAAAGTTGTTGGGCAACATTGAACAACCTTCCACATGGTAAAAGAAGAAGTTGTCACGGTCCAAGGTATAAATCCATCACCCCCTAACAATGGATAACATGCTGAAACCTCGATCAAGAGCCAAGGTATACTCATAACTATGCATAACTACCCATTAAGCTATTAGCAACAATAGCGAATCATGCATCGAAAATGGAATCCGTCAATCTAAACCTACAAATACACAATGATTCACATCGTAGATCCATATACACAATTCTAATTACTCGTCTCAATACTAAATATCTGTAGTTATTACTGACTCAAACGTCGGAGTGTTTAATACCATCTCTCCCCGCACCCTCATCCACCCGGTTTAACAGCAAAGCGGCTGTATTAAAAATTAAAAAATATATATATGTTTCCCTTTTTTCCAATTTTTTAAAATTAAATTAATATTTTTTAGATAATCAATTAATCAGTCTCTTTCTTTTCTCTTTCTTTCTATCTGTCTCTTTCTCTCTCTAACAGTCTTCCCCCACACCTACTGACACCTCCAAAATTCTTAGAGAGAGAAACCCACACAAAAACCAGAAGCAAAAGCAACCCCATTTCTCTCTCTCTCTCTCCCTTGATTTATACCAGTCTCAGTGTTTAGAGAGAGAGAAGAAAACCCAGATTAACGAACCCAAAATCGTGGTCTACTCCAGTCTCTTTCTGGTTCTGCACCGTCTCATGTGTATTTATACACATATTTGAGCTGTGGGTATTTTCCAATTTTGGGTTACTGTTTGTGGAATGTGCGTTTTGTGAGATTTGGAGCCCTAGCGGGGTGGGTTGTGGATCCTGGGGGAGATTTGGCATTTGGATGTGAGGGAAGACAGAATCGTGTAGATCGGGTTATGGCGGAGATTTCTGGCGACGGAGGAGGGTTCTTGGCGGCGGCGGAGGTCAGCAATGGGCAGCCCACGCCGACTCCGATGCCGACACCGAATCCCACGCCCTTTACGGTCTCGGGATCTTTCAAGGAGGGGAAGGGCTCGTCCAGGAGGCGGACGTCGGTGCGACCGAGTATGGACGCCGACGACTTCTTCAACTTGTTGCACGGCTCGGATCCGGTGAAGGTGGAGCTCAATCGGCTCGAGAATGAAGTGCGAGGTGCGAAATGTGGTTCGATCTGGTGTTTTTTGGGGGGATTTTGAAGCGGCTTTTAGTGGTTTTGTTCAATGTTTGCGAATGAATGAATACCTTGCGTTTGTTTTTGTTTGCAGATAAGGATAGGGAGCTGGGGGAAGCTCAGGCGAAGATCAAGGCTTTGAAGTTGTCTGAACGACTGAGAGAAAAGGCAGTTGAAGAGGTTAATATTTGATGTTAATTATGCGGGTTTTTCTCGATTAGTTTAAATGGAACTGGAATTCCTTGCAATTTTTCTTCGGTGAGGTGGGATGTGATGGGAATATTCAATATGAATTCTACATCCCTTTATAATTGGAGACCATGAAAGCCATCTGCGGAGTTCGTGGAGAGCAGAATGGAGCATTTTTCTATAAGTAGTTGGGTTCACTATTTTTATAGTCGAGATCTATACTTCTTGATAAAAATCAAATCTCATACTTGTTCACACTTTTATTTTAAAAGCATTCCTTCCATAACGATAGGTGGGTAGTTCCCATTATTTATATTTCAGTTTTCTTGGCAATGCTGGGGTAAGCTTCATCTTGCCTAAGTGGGGAAGGAGTAAATCCTTATCCCTGCTTTCTGGTATAGCAACTAAGAACTCTGGAAAAGTACCTTTGATTTTCTAAAATTTCCCTTTGTTTGTAAAATGCTTTTTAAAAGTTTCAATTCATTCTTCCTCAAAGCGGCAGCCAGTATGATAACTGGTGGTCCTTGTATTTGGCAAATTTGATGATGCAGATTGCAGATTTGCAGTTTTCATTCATGCTTTACCTTATTGGTGAATGATGGAATTGGCATAATTCTTTTGTCATATTCATTTTATAAAGATGCTGGTCGAATTAGGCCCCCTTTTTGAGAAACGAAATGTTGTGCTGCATGGGTCATTGTGGCTCAAATTTTCCTTTTTAGTTTCTTTCACAATATGTTCCATAAAAGGTTTTTCACATTTCTATTTTTTACCTTCTTTTTATAATTATTTTTGCAACTTCTCAGTCAGTCTTATATGGTGGTTTTGATTTTCAAATGTTCACAATTATGGGCATTATGGACTTGTGAAACTAAGAGTTTCCTTTAAACTGATCTATAAGAAATTCTAGTACTCAAGTTTATCCTTCTTCATGAGGCTCTTCTTTTACTTCTGAATTTCCAAAAAAACTCTTTTCTATACTGCAGTCTGCAGAAAGGCTTTACTGGGTTTTTTTTTTTTCATATAGTTCCTCCTGCAGCATTTATGATGTCCAAGTCACCAAAGTGTGACCTGTCTATGTATATGTGTTCTGGAAATTTATTATATGGAAATGATTAATTTGATTTTGAATTGATATATAGCTGACTGAAGAACTTTCGAAGGCTGATGAGAAATTAAAATTGACAGAGTCTCTTCTTGAAAGCAAGGTATTCGCTGAACCCTGTTCTTTTGCCTTTGTTACACCGATTTGTTGATATAATAATAATTTATCATGTAACCTCTTGCAGAATCTTGAAATAAAGAAAATCAATGATGAGAAGAAGGCCTCGATGGCAGCGCAATTTGCTGCTGAAGCCACTCTTAGGAGGGTACACGCTGCTCAAAAGGATGATGACATGCCTCCAATCGAAGCCATTCTTGCACCTTTGGAGGCTGAGCTCAAGCTTGCACGACAAGAGGTACTATTCTTCGTTATATATGCCACAATAATTACTAACACATGTACCAAAGTGAGAATGAATTTACTAATGGGTTTATATTTGTTGTCTTGGTTTATTTCAAGATTGCAAAGCTTCAAGATGACAATAAAGCACTGGATCGCCTAACCAAACAAAAGGAAGCTGCTTTGGTTGAAGCTGAGAGGACTGTTCAAGTTGCCCTGGCCAAGGCCTCTATGGTGGACGATCTACAGAATAAAAATCAGGAGTTAATGAAACAGATAGAGATTTGCCAGGTAATATTTCTGATGTATGATGCTTGACACCCGAGCGCATTAGTTACTTCATCCATCCTCATTTTTTTAGCCTTATAATGAGGAGAAATTTATAGGTTTACTGGCCTGTTTTAGGAAGAAAATAAAATCTTGGACAAGATGCACAGACAGAAAGTTGCAGAGGTTGAAAAATTAACGCAAACTGTGAGGGAGCTGGAGGAGGCTGTTCTTGCTGGTGGTGCAGCAGCAAATGCTGTGAGAGATTATCAGCGCAAAGTTCAGGAGATGAATGTAATGTGCCGAAATATTCGAATTAGAAGTGTCTTTTCTTTGACATGTACTACTTATTTTGAATCTTTCGTGCATTACCAAAAATATTGAGGTTTATTTTTGTGTCCCTTCAGGAGGAAAGGAAAACTCTCGATAGAGAGTTGGCTCGTGCAAAAGTAACAGCCAACAGAGTGGCTGTAGTTGTAGCAAATGAATGGAAAGATGCAAATGACAAGGTTATGCCAGTAAAACAGTGGCTTGAAGAACGAAGATTTTTGCAGGTAAATTGAGTTTCAGGGCTCAATATTTTCACTGGGCGTATCTATTGCTTCCATGTTGATGTGCAATTACTTCTATTTTCAGGGAGAAATGCAGCAACTCCGTGACAAGCTTGCTATATCTGAGCGAGCTGCAAAATCTGAAGCGCAATTGAAAGTAATCTAATGTTTTCTCGACCATTGTCATTCACTGTACATGGTTTCACTGTTACTAGAAACTAAAAACCGCTGTGCTACTGTTTTCAGGAAAAGTATCAATTGCGACTTAGAGTGCTTGAAGAGAGTTTGAGAGGGTCTTCTGGTAGTAATAATCGAAGTACTCCAGAGGTAAGAAGTGTAAGCAATGGCCCCTCTCGTCGGCAATCTCTGGGTGGAGTTGACAACATCTCAAAATTAACCTCCAATGGATTTTTATCCAAAAGGACACCAGGTTCTAGATCATTGTCCTCGAGCAGTAGCACAGTATTAAAACATGCTAAAGGCACATCAAAATCATTTGATGGAGGTACGAGGTCATTGGACCGAGGAAAGGTGTCATTAAATGGACTTCTACCCAGTTATTCATTCAATCAGTCCTGTGATGCAAGCAAGGACAGTGAGGTAAATAATGATTGGAAAAGTAATCCTGATGAAAAGGGGAATGAGTCTCCAACTCTTGAGACTGAAGACAGTGTTCCAGGCATGTTGTATGATTTACTTCAAAAGGAGGTTATAGCTTTGAGAAAAGCTGGTCATGAGAAAGATCAAAGCCTTAAAGACAAGGATGATGCCATTGAGGTTGATGTTCTGGACAAGTTTGTTTTACGTTTATGTAATTTATACTTAGTATGTGAGTGAGTTTGATAGATACTAACTTGTTTTCTGGTATTGGTGCTCAATGTTTTTCAGATGTTAGCAAAGAAGGTAGAGACGCTGACCAAAGCAATGGAGGTCGAGGCAAAGAAGATGAGAAGGGAAGTAGCTGCCATGGAGAAGGAGGTGGCAGCCATGCGTGTGGAGAAAGAGCAGGAGAACAGGGCAAAGCGATTTGGTGGTAGCACCAAGGGCCCCGTTAGCGCAGCACAACTACTTCCTGGAAGGTATTAATTCAAATTTCTGTTGTGTACAAAACTAGTAAATGACTGAGCAATGCTGTTACTGTCATGAAACTAGTGCTCTGTTATGACTGTATTATGATTTCATATCTGTGATATTATCTTTTTTTTTTTCTGAAGATGCTAATCTATGTAATTTAGAGAGCTTATTATGATATGCTCCCTAATTTATGTAATTTCATTATATTTCTGCCACTTTTAATTAGTAAGATGTTGCATATATTGGGTTTAAATGATGGGAATTTGAAGCAGTTGTTTGGTAGACAATGCACGAGATATTAGGACTCAATTGGGAAAGAAAGTGAAATTTTGTTTTAAATATCATGCATATGTTCAGTTTTTTTCTTTAAGATGTTTGTTTTCTTCTTTTCCCGCCCTGGAAGTTGTTGTGTATATGGACACATGTATTATGATACAGATACTCTTATCAAGGTTCAAGATCATGGCTTGTAGACTGTTTGTTAAACTTTTTTACCCAAACCATTTTATTAACTATAAGTAATTGCAAAAGGTAGAGAAACCTAAACATGGTCTTTGTGGAGTTTAAATCTCTGCTAAGCCAAAAGTATAAAGATGAATATTAGTAATAGAAAAGGAACCAAAAAGAAACTACAGAATGAACTCATTCCCAGATCTCTGGCAGCTCCTGTCATTTATGATTTACTATGGAAATCTTCTCACTTCTAGATCTCCGATAAATTAGTGACCACTAAGTTTGTTCATTAGATCCTATCCGTTCTCAACACTATGGTGCCCTTTACCATTTCATTTAAGAAATTGTTTGCCAACTTGGGCACCAAACTGCTGGTTTGGGTGGCCAGGTTAGCACCCCTCATTGCCTCTATAACCGAAATAGATTGGGTCAGTACCTTACAAAAGGATCATCCAGCAGCGACAAAAAAATTTCCAGAACCCTGTCCCAAGAGAAAGGATAAAAGAGCTATGCTAATAGGTACAGTAGCTTCCTCTGGCTTTGGCATTAAACACATCTCTGCAAGTTAAGCAATACCAGTATTGTCTTTTATTGAGTTCACTCAGTAGTAATGATTCTCCCTCCGGCCACGAGCCAGGTAATGAATTGAATCTATTTTGGAGCTTTGGCTTCCCAGAACAACTTTGGAGGTGGGAAGAGTTCCAATGCTCCTCAACAAGTGATCTAAAAGAATTCTCAAGGACCATGATTAAGCATCAATCATTGAGGATGATAAGGATGTCCCTCAACTGTAGGTTGGGCTTGTTCCCCCATTTACCTATCAGATAGCCCTCAGCAAGTGGTCTAAAAGAATTTTCAACGGCCATGATCAAGCATCAATAATGGAGAATGATAGGGATGTCCCTCAGCTGAAGTAGGCCTGTTCCCCCATTTTCTATTATAGTCTCTGAAGTATATTAGTACATATGCACCCAACAAAGGGAAGGTAGAGCACATGATGAAGAATTGAGGGGCCACCCAAGTATCTTGCCACCACTTTGAGAGTTGCAAAAGGATTTAACTGTAAATTTTTAGATGGATGGGACTGGTAATGATGTGCACCTCAATGGCATTTCAAAATCTGATTACCTTCATTCAGTGTCGACAGTATAATCTTTTTACTCTGTGATGACCAATTGAGCAAAAGAAAAGAAACGATAATTTTATTCTTAGAAGTCTGATGACCCTGCCCTGAAGTTTATTTGCACTTGTGGCTTTTTGAAGCTTTCTTTATTAGACTTGACTATTTTCTTACGCTAAATTAGTACCCTAGTCCATTCTTGATATGTCTTGAAAAATGACTGGCATCTTTCATGTTTTCCAGAAACGTCGGACGAGGTGGATTGAATCGCAGCACTCAATGACAAGAAAGAACCGAATCTGCATTTGTTCAACCAAGAGTTTCCACATAGTTTATGATCTTTGCTCTTTTTTTTTTCACTCTATATTCTATTTTCTTCCTCATGATTGATCATAGTAGTGTAACCCGCATGCCAATGATCCTGTGTTCGTTAGAATTGTTGCCATTATAGAAAGAGGAAACTGAGGAGGACGACGCTGCACGAGGAGGTAATTGGAAATGCATCTGACTTAGGATTGTGATCCCGCTGTTTAGAGATCAGAAAAGAAGGGGAGAAAGGGAAAAAAAGGTTAAAAAGGAAGAATAGTTTGACTTGTTGGCTAACCAGCTTCTGTCAGGTTTGTTTTTTGAGTGAGCCAGTGATTGTGTGATTTGTATAGGTAGTCTCTCTACTTATTGGAATCTTTATTCTTGTTTCTTCTCTTGTCATATTCAGTTGATATATGATGAAATCTGCAATGTGTGTTGTTGGTTCAGGTATTGTTAATATATTCTTGTTATCACACAAACTCTTTATCTTTTTATTTGCCTACTGTTTCCTTGACAGTCTTTTATGAATCTTTGCTAGATAATCAGTATTTCAACAGTTGTTTTGGTCTTTTTTTTTCCCTTTATTTCAACTCGTAGGTTAGATACTTTTGACACGATATCGCTTTTATTGCAATGGGACGGTATTCAAACTCTTGAAATGTAGTCTAGATAGCGAGCTCCTCTCTTACCAAAGGATTGAATGAACTAAAGGTTTAAATTCTATTTTGATCTCTAAACTGTGAGATTATTCTATTTTGGTTCTTGAATTTTTTAGTTCCTCAGTTATTGAACTTTTATAAATTAATCATTTTTCTAATCAAAAGTTAAATTAATCATTTTAGTCTTTACCCTTTTTTTGACTTTTAGCAAATTGATTGGGTAGCTTTTGTGTGTGCCTGCTAATTTAATTACTTTTTGAACAAATATTTTCTTTTAAAATATTTTTATAAAAATGACCTTAATCAAAATACTTGTATGTTTAAGAAAATGTGATTTTAATAGCTAGTTTGTTTGGTTGTATTATATATCTAAAAGTGGTTTTATAATTGTCGATTCTACAAAGATTTTAAGTAAATCATTTAAAGTCACATTTTAGAAGATCAACTTTATTAAAAAAAGAAAAAAGGAAAGAAAAGAAAAGAAATCAACTTGATTTTTTTTTAAAGTTATTTTTATTTGTTATTAAATATTCTAGATTTAATATTATTTAAAAAAACGTTTAGCCCTCTAAAGCACTTAATCTAAATCCAGGCCTCATGTTGGAGGAGTTGAGTGTGTATTAATTACTATAATTATTCACATGCTAATATAATTTATCCCGAATATTTTAGTTTTTTCTAATTCTCAATCAGATTCTTCCACGAAAAAATGTGTAAAATCAATCCAGCACAGCTCAATGAATAAGACACCTATCTATTACCGATACCATTCTTAAGGTTAATGATTCAATCTCGTTAACTAAAAAATGTTGAAATTTGTTTATTGAACTTTTTGATGTCTCGTTAAATTATTGTCTTGTTAATATATTTGAACACGTGAACATGTCACATAGAATAAATGGATCCTGTGGATAAGCAGGTCAGATTTTGTTGACAAGTGAGTCGGTTTTCATGTATCGAGTAGCATATTCATGTGTTCAAATATGTTAATGAAACAATAATTTATTGATACATCAACTTTTTGTAAACAAAATTTGACCATTTTTGTACGAAATGACCTAATTGAAATTTTTTATACATTAAGAATAAAATTGATAATTTTAAAAATTTAAGAACCGAACGGAGAATTTTAAAAGATTATGGACCATTTGATATATTTAACCTTATTCACAATACTATAAATAATCTATAAAATAATAAGTAAAATTTTGATAATAATTAAATAATGTTATGAAATTACAAATTATTTACACCAAGGCCATATTCATAGAAGGGGAAAAAATTGCTTCATTTACACTTGAGAGCTCTCCTCCTAAACTCAAGAGGAAGATTAATATTTAAATGGGATGTTTTTTTTTACGTTTACTATAAATGTTCTGAAATTAGAATCTAATTCATTGATGTTTATTGAAACTATCTCGGAATATAAATAAGATATATAACAATTACTAAAATATCATTTTCTTATTTCTAATTAATTACAAATTCATTGAGTAAAAAGTGTGCTAATATTATTTTTTATTAAAATAATAATATATTTTAATTATTTTATTACTATTTTCTTGATAGTAAATATGTTTTATTATAACAATTTGTTTAATATTAACAATTAATAAATAATTAAAATAAAATTACATCAACTAAATAAAGATCAATGTAATTTTTATTAAAACAACCTCATTAACATTAAATTTTATTGTTTTAATATTTAACAATAATGAAATCTATTTTAACTATTTATTGATACTAAATAATAACAACAAAGTAAAACTAAATAGAATTTTTATAATATTTCATAATAAAATTCCATCAACAAATTAAAAGTTGTATAAATTTCATTAGAAGAAAAATGATTAATATGATACATAAACAAAGAAATAATAAAATTGTAAAATAATTAATAAAAAAATTATGAGTCTCATAGATAAATGAACGCAAAATTAAAATGATTGAAAAGGTGCACGTCCACCAAATAAAGAATCAAAATTGATCAAGTTTTAAAAGCGGAATGTTATTAAGTTGAGGTGGGTCCCACAAATTGGTTTTCTATATTTTTTTTAGTACAACGACGTCATGTGGAGATGGAAGATTCAATGTGGATGAGTTTTTTTAGTACAACATGTGGGAGTGGTGGATCGAACTCACAACATCTTAATATGTTAATTAACACGACGTTTTAATCGAAAATAGATATTTTAACTAATTGAACCAATCGATTTCATTTCTATAGTTAACTAAACATTATCAAACAGACGCCCTCCAATATTCGAATTTAAAAAATATATATATATATATAGAGGGGAGTAAGAGCATCTGTTTGAGCATAAAGATAGATTGGTCAATCAAACATTACTCAAAAAGTAAACAAAATCTCAATTTATGGATATTTGTCATAATAAATAATAAATAAATAAATAAAAAGGCAGAAGACTAACACTATTTTCAAAGTAATACTGACCACCACCATGTTCAAACAACTCTGACAGATCACTTGATTGTCTGAATTCAAAATTAAACAAAAAGTTCTAAATGGATCGTTTTTGTTCTCTGAATTATCAACATACACAACTCCAAAATTTTATATTAGTTTCTAGTTGATATTCAAAATTTTGTTTTTCAAATTTTAAGTTACCAGAAAGCTGCATGAATTTTACCCTTAGAAAGTTGCACTCCATTTTGAAAATGTGGTAAAATTTTTGGGTGAGGACGGAAAGCTGATAGGACGTTATATCTTGTTTTAATCTCTCAACTTATTAGGACTTGAAAGTTAAATTTGATTTTAGTGTCTCAACTTATTAGGACTCAAAATTAAAATTGTGTTGATTGAACGATCGACTTAATTTTTATCACCCATTTACTTTGGAGGCATTAAATTCATCGGCTTACTCAAAACCAACCAGTTTTGAGGAACTAAACTGAATTCATCTATCTTCGAGCCAAATTGACCGATCAACTTCGATTCAACTCGATTTGGTTTTTTTTTTTTTTTTCAGTTTCAATTGTAACCCTATGCAATAGTTCAGGTATCAGATTTCAAAATATATTAAAATTCACATTAAATAATTAATGAAAAAGTAAATATAAAAGGACAAAAATACTTATCTAGCAGCTTCCTCTGATGAGAACATGTGTTCAAATAAACCAAAAACTTTTTGCAGGAAAAGATAAAGATTTCTCTCCTTTTATGGAGAATGTCCTTTTTTGTTACAGCTTCTTCCTTAGCAAGCTTCAATTTAGTCTTATTTTTAAAATTTTCTTTTTGATACCTGTATATTTTTAAAAAGTAACCAATTTAATCCTATTTAGAAAATTTTAACACATATTTTATACAAAATAGAAACCGTTTCATACAAATTTAAAGTTACATTTAAAAAAAAATTAGAGTGAATTGTCATTGCTAAAATTAAAATAGAAAAAATGAGATAAAAATGAAATTGAATAGACCAAAACTTAAAAGAACAAGGACCAAAATAGACTGTTTCAAAAGTACATAGACTAAAATTAACAAAATTGAAATTTACAAATACAAAAATTTACATTTTCAAAGTAAAAAACCAAAATGAATCAAAGTCAACTATTATTTAAACTTTTTTGTAATAATTAATATTATTATTATTTGGACTAATTAAAAGGCTTTCCTGTAGGCTCCATTAACTGTGGAGCTACTTTCTCCCCTTCTTTAAACTTCTTTAATAATATGTCTTGTCCCCACTTTCTCCCCTTCTTTAAACTTCTTTAATAATGTCTTGTCCCCATTAAGACAAGAAATAAACATTTATGCAAAGTTTAAGGACCGAAACAAAATATTTGAAATATGAGAGTATAGTTAAAAATTGAGATAAAAAAGGTTCTAAGCCAAAAAGATGTTTAAAAACATCAACAGTCCATTCATATGAATATATGACCATTGTTCACAGAGGAGTTCAAAAAAATTCCCAAAGTGGATGGTCAAATCCAAATTAGAAGTCCATGAATCCTTCTTACTGACAACCTACAATACAAAGGTACAATTTGCATCTACACTAATAATCTGGTCTAAAATTTAGCATCTATCACCTAAAAGAGACCATGCCTTAAAAATCTGACTCCAACAAGTTCTATCGACTCTATTCGTCTTAAAAACAATCAAACACGTTGCAATCAAGAAAGAATCTTTGAGGTTTACCGTTCTTCATGTGCGGATATCGTCCTCCTCGACGTGCATGCATTCGAGTGTCAACTGATGAAGGTAGAATAAACTGAGAAACTTGTGGACTCCTGCGAAGAACTCCTGAAAGAATGGAAGTTCATATCAGCAAGATCTGAGATACTGCAACGTCTTGCATTAAATGAGTGTAAATGGAGAACATGTATGAATCCCACATTAGGCTATGACCAACAAAAAGCAAGGAACTCGCTTTAATACAACAGAAACTCACAAAGTTGAGGTTTTTGCAGGAAAACAGTAATTCTCTGTTTTCACATCGGAGGAGAGCCTTGTCAGTAGTGAAAGGGTTAAGAGTACAAAGAGTGCTTATATGTGTTTGAAGGGCTCTGGTAATCTTAAACCAATCATCATGGAAGAACCGCCGGATGACTACAATGGAGGAATCCAGCTGGAGATCCGCTTCCTGATATGCAGCCATAACGTTTGGCTGCTGGTTCCTTTTATGCTGCTGTACCAGAGGTGGGGTGGGAAGCGTGTTAATTTACTGTTTTCCTTTCTTAATAGCATCGCAGTAGGTCAGGGGGCCAAATGCCACGGGTGAGCTATGATGTGCAGAGGTGGATGGTGTAGTATTATTGTGTTGTTTAGTCTGGGGGTGTTCATGTAGAAGTCTATAAAAAGCTTTGCAGCCTTTTCTTTCTTCACCAATATACGACTCTAGTACAGAGAATTACTGTAATTGTGACAAACCCTACCCTTTGATATTCAAATCTTTTCCAAGTGTTCTTTTGCATGTAAGAAGAGAGGGGAGAATTCAAACCTCTCGCCCAATCGCCCAATTGAACTATGCTTATGACAGCAATTTTTTCCCAATACCATGTTTCCTCTATTACAGAAATAAATCTTAAAAGATTTCAAATGTCAAGCATCTGGGGAAGGAATGTCAAAGACTCAGTACCTCAATTGCAGAAAATTCTTACACTCCTACAAGGAAAGACAGCTACTCATCCTCTCAAATGACTTCCGATAGGCGGTGTACAAAATTGGCATGCATAGCATGACCACCCTGCGTTGAGATTCAACAAACTTATTTGCATCCCTAATAATCATAACTATAAAAGCACGACTTCAAAGAATTCAATAACTAACAAGAGTTAACTATTTACTTGTTCCTTTTCAAGCTTCCCAAGCATAAACTTGCAAATTGTCAGAGTATTGCTTGCAAGCGTATGACACTGAGACAGCAATTTAGGACAGTTCCACAATCTTGCAGATGCTCGAGCTAAAATATAACGAGTACTTTTTGGTAATTATGCTCATAAGACTGAGAGCATATTATGAGTACAAAATGGAGGGACAATCCTACCCATTCCCTCGACTTTGAAAACATTATCTTGTCGGTCTCTCAGCAAAGAATTGTAGCGTACTGATGGCCTATTAAACTATTAGGTCACTGAACTCATTTGGTATCCTCTCTTATTTTTCTCCTTTTCCCCCATTTTTGTCTTCTTTATACTGTGGAAAGCACAAACAAGGCATACACGGCATAGGCATGCCAGCAAGTATAACTTCTTAAAAAAAAGGAAGATAAACAACGAAAAGGACAAAGAGAACATAATAGATTTTAATCTTATTAAGGCGATAAGATGTGCATAATGTTATTTTACTTCCAACTGATAACTAGACAACTAAAAAGTGCCGTCGTCCAAGGGCAGTGGGATACGTCATAGGGCTGCCTATTTTCTCTCCCTTAAAGACCTTGATGAATCATAAGTCAAGGATAGAGTCATTCAGCACGGTATACAATTCATTCAATTTCAAGTATAATATTCATGAAAGCTGTGGGGTTGGGAGTATAAACAAGGTACCACAAACAAAAAACCGTCATGGATGACATAGAGACCAAACTTTAGAAGAAAACACCAACTAAAAATCCAATTTGCCCAACTATAGTAACAGTGGAATCAGGACCGGCTAAAATCCTGACCTTTCCCTTCCACTTTGTAAATAATTCTAAAGTATCCTGACTAAGAAATGTAGTTAACTGGCCTATTGGACTGTTAGGTTACTCGTCTAGTTTGATATCCTCCCTTCCTTTCCTCCATTGTCCCCATTCTTTCTATTTGGAAGCACATTAAGATATACTCATCATAGGCATGCCAACAAGTTTAACATATTAAAGTATGAACATAAAATGGTGGTTCGCTTAGAAAAATATATATGAACAAAAGATGAATGGGAACCTTATAAAAACAAGCAGGAATAGAGATTGATTTGCCCTGTCTTGGACTAGTCCATAGCTTATTTATATCTATAGGAAGGCCTCTCCTTGCTTAATAGTGCTCCCTTGTAAAGGGTCGGAGTTCATACCTAGCCTCAACAAAGCCTTATGCATAAAAGAATTCAGATAACAAGAGTTAACCCCTCCTGCACAGTTCTTAGAATCTTGTACCAAACGTCATGAAGCTTCAGTCTTCATTTCCAACCATCAAATTCTCTCAATAGATATCTAGAGCTTCAGCCTTCATTTCCTCTCTTCTAGATTTACCTTGCTCACCTGGTGATTAAGAAACAGAACTTGTTCCCTTCACTCAGGACCCAGTACTGAGCCCGGTAACCTTTAAAACCTTCAAGTCCTCTTCCAAAAAAAGACCCACAAAATATTTAGAACTATGAGCTTCCTATCAGAACCATTATTTATTTTATCTTTTTGAGGAAGGCCTTAAACCAAATCAGAATTTTCATTTTTCAATTCTTCTGAACTTTCATAATCTTCACAAACCAACCTTCGTTGTTAGCGCATATTTCCATCCACAGGATGCAATTTTCCATTCAGATTTTTCTAAAGAACTTATGATAAACTTGACCATAAACGAGTCTCTAAGGTTTGGGCAAATCAAATATGCAAAGCCAAAGTCCAGCACCATGCATAAAAAATTATTACAAACTCATTAATCTCAATACAACTCCCTCTCAAACTTACACTTCTTTTGAACAAGAAACCAACCCTTCATTGATGATTGAAAAGTTACAAACTCAAGGAGTAGAAAGTAAATTCCTTCTATCTAAACATATGTTAAAGTTACAATAAAGCCTCCCAATTTTGACATATGCCAGTTAAGGAACAGTTGGCAAAAATTGAAGATACAGAACACCACCAACTCCCTCTCAAACTTTTAAAAGAGGAAATTCAAGAAGTCTGAAAGATTAATGCTCACGTTTACATAAGCAGATAAGATGTGTCTAAATTTTCAAAATACGATACCAAAAACATGTTTCAAAAAAGTAAGATAGAGATATGATATGGGGAGAGGGGTTCGATTGAGAAATCCATGACACACCCTTTCTTGGATAAAGCAATTTTTTTTAATTCGATGCAGCTTCTAAAAACAATTTTATAGTCATGTTGCAAAGTATTAGCAAAATGCAAGTATGTTAACTGATGGCACACACGATATTTCCAAATCACAAACATTACAATTAGAATTAGACATTACGAGGTGAGAAAGGCGAGAACTTGTCTGAGAAATGAAGAAACAACAGAACTATATCTCAGAAGGAAATGTTAAATGCATAAATTCCTATCGGGCGCTGCAGCAAGAGAACTAAGTATAGGTATAACATCATCAACATATAAAAAGAGCAAGGGGCAAAGAAATATATAGAAGACCAAGATGTCTTCCCATAGAAGAGCAAGGAGAAGATACCTTGCTCTTACAATGTAAGCAATGACATGCCTGAGGAAAACATAAAGCACATGCAGGTAATAGAAAAGCAAAACAAGTTCAGATGGTGCTCCATTTGAAAATTTAAGAAAATAGTAGATAAATGATTATCATTCCCCCAACGACTACAACAAAGATTTCTTATAATCTGACTAGAAGTATAATCCCATATCTAATGACATACTAGAGGAGTAAATCTCATAGAACTTACCTTGTAAACCACTATGTGTGCCATCGGAAGCCCTTGACTACCAAACCGTGCAAAAAGTGAGAGGTCGCCAATAAGATCTAAAACCTTGTGGCGACAGGGTTCATCATGGAAACGCAATGGGGGATTGATCCAACCTCTACTGGCACTGGTGAATAGATAAAAGGGGAACTGATTAACTTAATATGCATTTTAATTTGGAAAGTCCTTTCCATTTATAGAACAGACAGCATAAAGATTTTTTTTGTATAAGCAACATATCACAAAATCTCATTCAAAGGAAGAGCAAACCAACAAAACAACTTAAAGGACAAAGAGACAAAATGCCCCTTCATCGTAGAGGGGTCAAACAATCGAGATTCAAAGTACAGGTAGAGTAGTTACAAGAAGTCTTGCGATGAGTACTCCGTACTCTAATTGAGACCATTAACTGTACAAATTCAAAAGAATTTGACTTGTCATTAAATATTCTAGCATTTCGATAATAAAGCTCTAGTTGCATTCAATCAAAGGATTCCCGATTCTGGCCTTTTTTTCGAACCACCATCCAGAAAGAACCCCCAGAAGCCAATCCTCAAGCTTGCTCGAACCAAACAAAACCAGTTTCAAATGAAGTTCGAGGATTCATAGGTAGAGCTACAGCCTACAATGAATAAAATCCCCCATTTACCTATCAGATAGCCCTCAGCAAGTGGTCTAAAAGAATTTTCAAGGGCCATGATCAAACTATGGGAGAGAGATTCCTCATTTCTATTACAGAGTAGCACACATTTGAGGGGAGGTTTGTACTTTAGGATTTCTCTATTGAAACTTATCAAGAGTGGCTCTCTCTTATTTTTGGTCACTTTTCGTTTTCATTTATCAGTAAGCAAGGAGTAGTTTCTTGCATTGTTTGAGGTAAGAGGTCGCTTAATTTTAAGAAGTGTTTGAAATGTACTTGGTCCAGAATGAAAAGACTGAAGGTTATACACTATTACTAATACTCTATTCATAAAGAAGACAGATCTAAACTGGGACATGCTTTTACAGTTGTTTTATCTTTAGTAACACGGTATTACTTAGGGGTGTACTATTACTTATCCAAATGTAGCCCAGTTACAATGAACATATCACATCAGAAATAATCCACTAAAATTAACTAGGAACTTGCAAATCGGGGGTGTATGAACAAAACAACTCACCTACAAACTAAAGCATTTTCTGTAGAGCCTCCTTTTATGAGTCCCATATTACGCATTTGCTCTACCTGCAAGGAAGTCAGTAGCACTGTAATTTTAGCAAATTTTATATGCAGTAAATAATCAATTTTTACTGTTGAGAAATGCAGTAAATTTTATATGCTTGCTCCAATGCATCTCAAAAAAATTGTTTCAATACTTAATAGCAAATTACATGTAAGAATAGATAATCCTGACCTTCCCCATTTTTTTGTGCATAACGCCACCAATAAGGACATATTTGCAAGAAACAGACTTCCTTTGCACTCTATCATTAGTATTCATTTTCTTAGAAACTTTTCTTTTCCATATTCAAGAAATAATAAGGAAATATAAATTTATGTTCATCAAACCTCCAGTGTAAAAGATTTGCTTACAAATATTACAGCTACAAAGCACACTCTAAAAGTGACTGTCTTGTCATACACACACCAGACACAGACAAGGTCCAAATAAGACCTCCAAACACCCGGCCTTGTCTTGAATTCAAGTACTATGTTATCAAACAAAAAATTTGGAATTGACTTAGTAATAATAAATAACAGCAAAATTTTAAACGAAATTGGACCAATAACAAAGTACCTACCTGTGAGGTATCTCTCTCACTTTTGTATTAGAAAACTGAAAGAAACAAGCCCGTAGGCTATACAAGTCACCCCACCAATTCGAGAGGGTGGGTAATCTCTCCCTAGCTACCTTTCGACACTAATAACCAAGATGGTCCCCTCTCCTACTCTCCTCCTCCTCTTCTACTCCCCACTATTCTCCTCATGGTCCCCACTACTCAAACCGTTATTCTTTCCCTCTAACAGATTACTAACAAATTACTCATTTGCCCCTAA